CAGGGTACACGTGTCCGACTTTTACGGTAACTACTGCGTTCTAACAAAAAAAATTCCTTTCGAAATTTTAGTATAGCTTTTTTATTTAAAGCCCTACTCTTACCCTAACACTAACTCTAATACTAATTGATGGTATTTTTTTTAAAACAACAAATATCGAAATCATATAAACAACAACGATCATTTCCATTTTGAGCGGGGGTACATAGATGTATCCCCTGCCAATTAGATAGAAAGATCAGGTGTAACGTAAAAATCACGCTTTTTTTGAAAAATCGTCAATAACTAACTTCTGCGTACTAACAAAAAAAATTCTTCGCTAATATTTTGGTATCTATCCGACAAACTCATATGATCATGAATTTATTTCTGTCTGTTATTTTTCCATGTGTTACGAAATATTCATGTTTAGAATTAAAACTCAGCTGACGATTCAATCATGATCATAAATTGTCGGATAACACCATTAATAACAGAAATTGGTTCAACCGGGCAAATGAACACGTGCCGCTTCGCGGCACGTGTCAGCCAATCATTTGCTTGTCCGATTGTTTTGATTTTTGCTGATTGGTCAAAATCACGTGACTTCACTTTTTTTTCTGGATGGCAACATATTATATAAATATCTTTTATTTTAACAAAGTTTTAAATCCACTTTTCAAATGGGGGAAGAGAACGGAAGCCCTAAATCTATGAATGGCGTCAACAAAAGTGCTAATGAAAATAGTGCGGATGAAATTGACGATCTATTTGGAGGTGTGGGTAGTGAAGAAGAACGGTATTAACCTTGTTGGTGCTATTTTTGTGTATAAATGGACATATAATGAAGTTGTAAATGTTAATTTATATCTACTAATCTTTTAAGAGAACGAGTAGGTTCTGGAGATATAACTCCAGTCGCCTCTCCAATTGCCTCACCCGTTAACTCAGACGATGAAGAGCAAGAACAAGAAGAACAAGAAGAGCAAGAAGAGCAAGAAGAGCGACGACTAACCTTTGAGTCTGAAGCAATGTCGAATGTATTTCGCTTACCATTAAAAAGTTGGAATAATAAGGTATAATAAACGAAAAATGGTATTATTTTATTTGTTAATCTGGCTAATAACCTAATTAAATTTAAATATTATAGTACATTGTCGCAAAAGTACCAAATTTTTTTCACTATACGACTGCCGCTTTTCGACCAGAAACCTATAGTCAAGCAGATGATCAGACAGTCGAAGATGCGATAAAGTTAGGTGCACAAGATGGATTGCGTTGGCGATACAAGAAGGATCCAAATACAGGTATAGAGGTATGTATTTATAGTATTATTCAATTGGTTCTTTTCATTCATATTATTACATTGTTTGCTTACTAAATTGTAGACTAATGAAAAAGAATCAAATGCCAGGATAATAAAGTGGAGCGATGGATCAAAGACCCTACTTATTGGAAAGGAACAATTTGAAATATCTAGTGAATCTCTAGAATCAAAACACCAATTTCTCACGGTTCCTCATCGAGGATCAAATACGCTTGAGCTTCATGAAAAGCTCAATGAGCATATTACTTTCTGCCCTATTACAGGCAGCACTACTCATAAGAAATTAACCATAGCCATTCAATCTAGGCATGCAAAGCAAGTAAAAACTCAGTTTGTTGATATGAATAAAGATCCAAAATTGATTCGGCTCCAAATAGAGGTATTTTAGTAAAATTTTGATATTTGAATTATTGTACGACATATATACGTATATATATATATAATATAAGTTTTGATCTAGGCTGAAAGAGATAAAAAACATAATGTTCAAAAGCGCATGGCAAATGCGAATCGCGCTCCCAAGGGACGTAAAAAGCATGATGATGATTCTGATGCAGAAGAAAGAAATCCTGCATTTGGCGTTAGTAAACCGCGGAATGATTCTTATGAAGATGACTCTGGATTTGTGGTTGCAGATGAGGACGAAGACGATGAGTTTGATAGACTAAGGCGGCGTCGCAAAGGAAAAGAGAAGATTGATAGCTTTCGTAAGAAAACAACATCCACATTGAAATCCAAAAAGCACCGCATTTATGATGACGACTCAAATGATGAAGATGATTCCTTTCAAATGGATGTCGAGCCGTCTTACGAACATCGCGATCGTCATGAACGATCTAAAAAGCGAGTAAAAGAGCATCATCATAATGAAGAAATACCAAAATCTCGAAAGAATAATAGTTTTGAGGAATCAGATGGTGAGAATCAAGGAGAATCCCAAGATCGTAATGAACACCTTAAGAAACGAATAAAGGAGCAACAACGTATTACTGAGGAAGATGAGGAGATTAACGTTGTAGATCAAATTCTTAGTGAACCTGACGAAGATGAGGAAGAGGAAATGCCAGTTGTAGTCAAAGGAAGAAAGAGAAATAGGAATGTTGTCGTTACAGATGATGATTAAGGTTTTATAGAGTGTAGGGATGGGATCTGCTTGAGCCAGCTCGGCTTGGCTTAAAAAGCCAAGTCGAGCCTGCTCGAGCTGATGGCTCAAGCTAGCCCAATTAAGTTGGCTCAAGCCGGCTCAAGTAAGTTAGCTTAAGCTGGCACATTATTTATAGCTGTTTTTCGAATGATTTTTCGGCTGTTATAATAAAAGCTATTTTTGTATTAATGATTGTTTGACAGATCGTAATATCAATGTTATCTAATTTTTTTCGTTTGAATGCTTGACTGACATGTTTGATGTGTTTAGTATATGCGTTTTTATCAACTAATAAATCTTGACAAGTAATCTAAAAGCGGATCCAGATATAAAATAAAATTTTATAATAACTATTGCACGAATCGATGGAAGTTTTTCATATACGTCTTTCTATTATTTGCCAGCGAAGAAAAAAATCATACTGTAAGATTTATACTAGGAAAATGCATAGCATTATGTGTCTTATTACACAAACGCGTGAATATGCATATTTTATTACACTAAATTAACAAATTTGAACACAGACAAAAAATTTTTTGACATGATCTTCATGCAGTCTGAGAATATACCAAATTAGGGGGTCGGCTAAAGCGGAGTTAATTCAATATATGATCTATATGCTGCATAAATTACATTCTTGATACCTATATAACCCACTAACCATAAATGCGTCAAAAGGTAACCC